AGGGCACTCACTGTGTGCCCAGCATGGCATGTACAGGGCACTCACTGTGTGCCCAGCATGGCATGTACAGGGCACTCACTGTGTGCCCAGCATGGTGCCACAGACCGTAGACATGGAACACAGCCCCGTGCCTGGTGCCCCTGTGCCCCTGGCGAGCTGATGACACGGTGCGAAGGGAGTCTGCTCACCCAGCGCCCGGCGCTGTGCCCATCGGGCGTGGACAGACAGCAGCTGTGCTTGTAGGACACCTACTGTGCGCCAGGCAGGGCGCCGAGGTGCCGCGGGACCGCACCTGCTCTGTGTCAGGGCTCTACGGAGTCACAGGCCGGTCTCTGTGTCGAGCGCCTACTGTGCGCCAGGTCCCGTCTAAGGGCACGAGTCACTGCTTCCCCTCGGGGACACTCTCTGGGAAATGCGTCGTTAGGCGATTCCAGCACTGTGCAAGCATCACAGAGTCACGAACGGCAGACGCCTAGATGAATCCACCCCGCGCCGAGGCCAGCTGTGGCCTGCTGGGCCCCACTGAACACACCGTCCCGCTGGGACTGAGACACGGTTAAGCAGCACAAGACTGTGCTGAGAATAAATCTCACATTCTGCACCGCTTCTGCGCCTGTACCCTACATCCTTTATGGGCGGAGAATGGGTCCCGCCCAGGGATTTCTCACTGCACCCCTCGGTGGACACCTCTATCTGGCTAAACACCCCGTGTTAATGAGAGTTCTAACATTAGTGAGACTGGAGACAGCCTCACATACCCTCCAAAACTCTTAAAGTGGGGAAGCCAGTTTCAAAGCCCACTGCTGGGCTTTCTAGCTTTAGTCATGTACCCACGGGTTGCCTGCCCCCCATCACCTCTCAGCTGAGGCCCAGAAACGGCAATTTGCCTGACCAAGGGCCTGGGGGGAGCTGTGGGTGCTGGGAAAGGTGGGGCAGAACCAGGACCTGCACACGAGCTCAGCTGCTGTCCACGGGCCACCTCGGCTTGAGCCTGGGGGCTCAGAGCTTGGCCTGTGCCCTGGGCACAGCTCAAATGACACTCTGTTCTGCCCTGAGTCCTCACCCGGATATCGCTGGCCTGCCTGAGAGCAGAGCGCCCAGAACCACGCACCACCACGTGAGCCTGGCTCACCGACCACCTGTTTGCTGACTACGCACACGTGTACAACCTGAGCAAGGGCCTGTGACCCGTGGGGGTGAGAGCCCCAGCCCCAGAGACTGCAGCAACCAGAGCCTCAGAGCCCGAGGTTACTCCAACAAGAACGGCTCTCCAGTCTCTCTTAAGGAGAAACACCAGCGATCCCGTCCCTGGGACTGTACACCTCAGGCCTTCTCCCCACTTCTTGACCAGCCACCCCAACCGTAAGTGCCTGGGGGGAGTCAGGCAGGAGCAGAAAGACCAACTGGGGAATGAGCCAGAAGGAATGGATTTGCTGCGAAAGGGAGAGGAAAAACAAAACCAAAACCATAATAAAACAAGAAACAACGGTGATGGTGATGATGATGGGAAAAACCATAATAAAAGAAAGAAAGACGCCTTCCAGAAAACTCCCAGTCTGTTTACCTACCTTCCACTCTTCAACTGCTAACTTATAAGACTTTCTTACGAGGGAGGGAGTGGCGGAGTGCCGAGCTACAAGGCCAGACCGAGCTCTGGGTGGGTCTCCGGACGTCAGCAGGCCCGCAGCGGGCATGCCGCAGTTCCGGACCGGTGCCGCCGAGGCGGGAAGGTGGGGTGGTGTCTGGGGAGACCCACGGCTGAGTGGTCTGGCCTCCACCTACCCTTGAGTTGAGCCTAAGAAGCCCGCAGCCCCTGGGGGGATACGCCTGGCCCTGAGACTTGGCTGCCAGCTTTCTCGGCCCCACCCGTCTGGGGCAAGAAGGGGGGAGTCCCTTCTCCCCCACTCCCTGTCCTGGGCCGCCCCGGAGGTTCGCTTGGCTGGGCCAAAGCCGCGTTCTAGACGACCACGGAGGCCGCCTCCTTCACAATCCAGCCCAACCTGCGTGACGTCTTGGGAGGGGGCAGACGTGTGGACGCGCGCCGTGGCACATGGTTCCACCTCCCCATTTCTGGGCCGAGGGTTCAAGGCCCCATCTGGGCTCTGGACTGCTGGTGTAGCCTGGGGCTACGGGCAGTGGGGTGGGTGTGGGGGAAGGAGCCCGGGGCACGCAGGGTGGGCCGTGTTTGTGAACCTGCTTGAGACCAGCGAGTACTCACCTTCACGGCACCTGTGCCGGTCTGTCTGTCACGTGGCCGCCCAAGCCACAGGACACCCTCACTGATCTCCACCTCACGCACAAACACCCAGGCGCCGCTGAGTCGGGGCGCGCTTGGCTCGGCTCAGCAAGTGGCAGCGGGAGGAAGGGGTGGGGGCTCGGGGTGGTGGGGAGCTGGTCTCCGCGGCCCCTGATTCCGACATCGCCCTCGACTGACCCGTGACCCCCGGTGTGCGCACACACTGCGGCTGCTTCCGGAACGAGGGCTGGTGGCCACAGCGTGACTGACTGAGAAGGGGGAGGAGGCCACGGCAGCAGAGGCCGGGCGCCAGGGGAGAGGAGGGCGCATGGGAGGGAAGGGAGGCAGGAGACGGGGGGAGCAGGGCCCTGCCTCGGCCAGTGCCCGGCGCAGGCAGGGAGGCTCGGGTGGCGGGGGCCGTGAGCCCTGAGCCAGCGGCGGTCCTGGCCCCGAGTGGCCTCTCGTGACAGGGAGGCCGGGCGGGCACAGCGAAGAACTCCAGGAATTTAAAAGCCTGTACGGAGGCCTGCACCCCCCAAACCTGCACCAGTTTTGACTCCCCCGCCCCCACCCCGCCCTGGCAAAGGAGGGCCTGGGCCTGGGGCAGAAGCACCACCCGGGGAGCTGAGTTCATCCCTGTGCCCTTTGCTTTGTGGGGACAGCGGGGTGACAGCCTTGTGTGCCCCTCAAATGCCTGTGGACAGGGCACAGGGTGACCGTCCCATTAGCCCCAAGTCTGGGAGAGAAAGGGGACGGAAGATGCGGTCTGCTGCCCCAACGTGGGGGCGGCCAACGGCCACATCTTGTCCCCGGCCCAGGGAAACACGCACGGGGACCCCGCGCAGCACAGGGCGTGGCCGGCCGAGGGCCGCGGGC